CCCCCCTAACTAGTGATATGCATCTTCATTCTTCTTAATATAAAAGACTTTTATTAAAAATAAAGAAAAATGAGATCCTCCTTCCTCCTCATTCCCCCCTCCTCTTAAGTAGACTTACGCCTCCTTGTTTTTAGGAGGCTTACGCCTCTTACGTTCTGAACTACGCCTCACGCCTCTAGGTAGTGGAACACCTCATGTCACGCCTCCGCAATTTAAAACATTGGTAGTAGGTGAATACCACTTAAGCTAAAAGGAAAATTTTATATAGAATAGTTGTAAGGACAGCAATACCATATGGAGCAGAGTGTTAGGCAGTCAAGAAACATGTCAAAAAATGTATTTTTTATCAATATGTCAAAAAAAAGTATGGAAGAAAAGCAAAATGTTGAAATGGATGAGTGAGAAAACTAAGAAGGGCAGGATCAGTCACTCGAAGGAACTTATGTGTAACTTCGATAAGTAAAAAAATGAGGGTAAGTAGACTAAGAAGGTTTAGTTATGTACAAAGAAGACCATCTACAGCACCTGTAAGAACATGTGATCTCTTACAAGTTGAAGGGGCTAGAAAAGCTAGGGGTAAACCAAAAAGACACAAATTTTAGTAAGAAATGATTTAAGGGCTCATGATTTAACAAAGGATATGGCACTAAGCAAAACAGAATGGAGAAACAGGATTAATGTAACTCACTGACCCCATGTAGTTGGGACATGACTTATATGATGATGATGATTATGATATAAAATTCCACATCTTAAACAAAAAGACAGAATAACCATAAGGGATAAGACAAATGTGCATATCACATCATCTGCAACCATTTCAACAGAACAGTGCCTGAAGGGGAGAGGCAAACAGGGATCAATCTTGATGGGGTTTCTGCACAATTTCAGTATCTATGTTATTCTTTTTTATAATATCAATAAAATTGGAAGTTATCAATCAAAATAGAAAGGAAAAAAGTAAACAGAATAGCACCAGAAGTATACCTTATTTATCAACCCATCATCAATTACAGCACTGCTAATCTTCTTAAACAGTTCATACAATGCTTCTATTTCACTCACACTAACTGTAACCAATAGCAGGAAAAATCTTAGAACCTTTATTTTCACTATTTAGTAACTTTCAACAACCCAAAAGATAACATAAAGAACAAAATTAACACAAGTAAGACAACAGCAAACAAAATCAAGTGCAATGAATATAATACTTGCAATCACAGATATTATAACTTYCCTATATGTTAAGGTGAAAGGATTCAAGCTGAACAGTTCAGATTAACCAGACAACCAAAATGTTTGAGTGGAAGTTGAATTGGGCAAGGAACCAAGAGAAAGGGAGTGGCAAAAAAAGCTTCAAATACAGTTACTTTTTTTGTAAATTATATTTTGGGGAAGGGGGAAACCCTAGGCTGTTATAACGACTACATGATTAATGAATACAAACCATGGAGAACCATATGCAGGTATAAAATTATAGTTTCTATACTCATACATCAAAAGAAGCACTGAAACTAATACCTTCTTAAAGATACATGAGATGTTCATACTTTAGACATAGAAAGCCTTTCAAAATTCAGGCCCAGCAACCCAAGGTTCTTGCAAATTTCCATCTGTAGCCTAAATGCATTGTCTTTTATTGTCAAAAGATACACTCATTGCATTCCTTTGATGTACACTAACAAAGGGCACAGGGGAAATTGGGAAAGATTCCAATTTAGCAATTTAAATTGTCAAAGGCATTACTTGTGATTATATTAACTTTTTGTGTGTGTGTGAGTGCGTGCACGCGCGCGCGCGTGTGTGTGTGTGTGAGAGAGAGAGAGAGAGAGTCTAGGAACTGGTGGTCAAAGTAGTTATGTTTGACCCAAGCAATCAGCCAACCTCCGAGGTTCCGACCTGCACAGAAAATTAGCCTTATCCGGAGTAACGTGCCAATCAGTTCCGAGTCGTGTAGTGGCACGACCTGCATTTGGTGCAGATGACCCCATCCCCCATATAACTCGGAGAGGTCGGATAACGTCCGCCGCCAACATGGAAGGTACGCACCCCAAAGATAGCAGGTAGATAAGGCCCGACATCCCCGGATATCTCAGACGCAAGATTGGGACCCGACGCCTAAAGGACTCGAGCCTCCTCTACCATGATATGCACGATTTAGTGCAACTTTGCTCTTTCTTGCTCTCTACTCAACTAGCTTGGCTGACTTAAGCATCAAAGTGCTCACCCCGGGTCTAAAACCCTGAACACTCTGGACTTCCTCTACTCTTGTAGATAGGTGCAACGACCTTAGCACTTTTCGTCCGAGCTGTCCTCCAGCAGGGAAGCAAGCGAACCCGCGTATCATCACTTACCGGTTCAAGTTTTGAAGCCTTCAAGGGTTCAAGGCAATATACATGTTGTTTAAAACCWAACAAATGAGAAAAATAACAAAAAACTATATTTTAACTTTAGTTTAATGATGTCTATTTTATTACTATAATCTCAAAATATTAAGAATATAAAAGTATCCAAGAGCACCGTGTAAAAAATATCTTGGTGATTAAACGAGTCGACCCTCCATGAGCGCCTTCTCACCTAGGTGTCACCTTGACAATTATGCTTCTAATTGATGAAGGTTGGATACTTCACCAGACATTCCACTGCCACCTAAAAGTTGAACCACTTGCCCATCCTTTTTTTTATAATAACAGAAAAGAAAATTTTATAAAAAGGAAACCACAGATTACATCCTGGTGTAGAGATTACACCACAAACCATTACAAAGATCTTTCCAGATTACATTCTTGAATCTCAATTGCACTCCAAAAGGAGGACCCTAAATCTGACAAGGATATTTGAGCAAAATCCGGTAGGATGAGCACCCAATCAGAGACAGCCCTTCCAATGGACTCAAAATCCGGTAGGATTAACACTTTGTGATATGATCCAAAGGAAAAGACCACAATGGTGCTTGTCCCCCAGGTGGTGTTTTTTATGTAAGTTGAATGGCGAAACTACTATTCATATCTTAATCTCCTGTCCTTTTGTTGGCTGCAYTTGGGATTGGTTTTCTTCTCTTTTTGGGTGCAGGTGGTCCTCCACTGTCAGCTTGGAATGGAAGGGTTGTTTACTTGTTTAGCCCGTCTTCTTTTAGTTGCTCCAAGAGGAGGGGTAGGACCTTGTGGAGATGCACGAGGACAGCAGTGGTATGGTCAGTCTGGGAAGAAAGAAATTTAAGGATATTTGAAGGCAAAGAAAAGCAAAAGCTTTGATAGAGGTAATAACCTCAAGAGCGGCACACTGGGCTAGAACTTTTAATCTTTTCTCT